TTCAGCATCTACCTTATACCAGGTCCTACCCTTAGCCCTGGAATGCAAAGATGGATCAGATATACACCCTTGACTGGAAGGAACTTCCAGTTGAGCAGAGGAGACAAAGTATTTTTTTTTTATTTGTGATATAAACCTATAGTGAACAATGGTGTGCCAGACACTGTCTTAGAGAAATGGGACCAACTCTTTCCCAGGGAACTCCAAGTCTGGAGAGAACGAATAAGTAAACCTTCAATGACTCGACCGTTAGAGCTAGAATAGAGAGGTGAACAGGGCCCCCCAAAGGGCTGGGTAGCTGAAGCCTTAGTCCATTCAGGCTGCTATAACCAAAATACCGTAGACTGTGTGGTTCATAACACAGAAATTTATTTCTCACAGTTCTGGAGCCCATGACGCCCAAGATCAAGGTACCAACAGATTTGGTGTCTGGTGCTTTTTGCTGTGTCCTCACATGGTGGAAGGGGCAAGGGAGCTCTCTAATTCTACTCATGCCCCAGGGCTCTGCCCTCGTGACCTAATCACCCAAAAGACACCAAAGACCCACCTCCTCGAACCATTCCACTAGGAATTAGATGTTAACATGAATTTGGGAGATACACATTCAGTCTACAGCAGTAATTTAGTCTGAGGGTAAGTAAGTCTGGGACGGTTTCTTGCAAGAGGCCATGCTTGAACTTCCTTCTAGGGTCTGAAAAGATGAAATAGAAGTTGGCTGGCTGCAAAACAGAAACGGAAAGATGTCTGGCAGAGGGGGTGACAAGTGCCAAGGCTCAACTGAGGAAGGTGATGGGGCTGTAGTCCAAAAAGCAGTGCAGGAGACCCCTCCCCCCCCCATACCAAAGTGATCCTCATAAGAAAGATGAGGGCTGAAGTTAAAGCACAAAACATAAAGAGCCATAACACAGAGAAAGATAAAAGTCCTAAGTTAGCTATTTCCTTCAGATAGTGCCATCAGTGATTACTTCATTAAGCAAGAGCCCTTAAATCTGGGGCTGAAATTGGGAATGAGTTGTGACCTGGGATCCTTAAAGCAAAATCTAAGAGGGCATTCCCAAAACCTGAGGTTGGAGAAACCTCAAGAAAAGCGTACAGGACATGGTCGACTGCAGGGCAATTTCATCATGTTGAATAAATAATTGTCTCATCCTGGGCTCCCTAGAAAACAGAGTCTGAGGCAAGACTTAAACGCTAATACTTTATTTGGAAAGTACAATCCATGGCAGAGAGAATAAGAGGAGAGGGAAAATATGGCAGGGAAGGATGCAAAGAGCACACAGTAATGTGTTAGTATGCTGGCTACTGCTTCATAACAGCCTGGGAGACATAAGGCCCGTTTCTTGGCAGATGCACTCACTAGACCATGTGGAATGTCTCTGGACAGGCTCTAGAGGGAAGCCACACCTTGAAATAGTCCATCTGAAGGAGGAAGGGAGAGAACATTCATTTGCTGGCTCTTTCCCTCCTCTGGTCTCCCACTGTGCTACATTTCTCTCCCAGGAGTGAACTTGCCTGCCCTCTGGGTTGTACCACCTAGTCTGCTCGGCAGCCACTTGAGAAGCATGGTGCTGTCTTCCAGGGCTTCCGGAAGTGTCTGGAGGACCCAGAGACTCCAGATGGTTGGTTTTCAGTGGCAGATGTGCTGCAGAGGCAGCTGAGATGGAGCAGGCAGCCTAGGGTTTGGGAGACAGATGACTAGTGAATCGGAGGTGTCACTTAGATGTGTCTGATACAGCAATCATAGAGGTGTGATCAAATTAGCACTGAGACTCTCTGACCCAGAAGTTGCAAACTTATTGTAAATCTCTCATGGTACCTGTAGGTCATGTCAAAAAGTGACATGGACTAGGTGGGGATTATTGATGACTGGAGGAACCTGCCCTGCCTAAAAAAATGGCCCAACACATTATCTCCAGTCTATTGTTACCCCCATGGGACCATGGGCCTGGTGCGGACAAATCTTTTGATCTTTGAAAAGAAACTGGAAATCCAGATGATGTTAATTCCCGTGATTAAATGTTGACAACTCTAGTTTATATAAAATTTAAGACCCTGGTGGCCCAATCTGGTGATTGTCAGGACAAATAGCCCTCCAGGCTGTTATCTATTGAGTTGTAACCTTCCATTGAGCTAGAAAACTCCTGTGATCATTGAGAGAAGTGAGCCATAACTGTAAACGGGGCTATGAAGACAGCAAGGGTGGGCTGAACCTAGGGGCCCAGGTGAAGAAGAAACAACAGGCCTAGGTCAAACACGAAGAAGAAATAAAATAACCCTGCAAAGATGTGGCTGAGAGACCCTGAGGAAGCAGATGACCTTGACAGGTATAGTAAGGCAATAGAACGAAGATAGGAGACAAGAGTTTAAAACAAAGTCCTAATTTTTTTTTCCTAAGGCAGGGGCATTTTAGATTTTTAGATGTCTCAAAAACATATCTATGTTTAAAGAAATTGAAAGGGAGTTGGAAAACATGGGACAACACTCATGATTGTCACATGTCATGCTGTTCCTGAGAGCTGCTAACTTTTATTGGAGCTTTGGGGAAGCTGTTGGCCAATTATTTCACAATTTTATCTTTTTATGCTTTTACAATCATACCAATCAGTTGGTTGTGCAACTTAACTCCAGGACATAGGTCTCAGGATTTTCTGTGTCAGAAAACTTGAAGACATGTGAGAAAGATAAAGAATTGCTGTACAGCAGAACTGCCCACATCTGTAGGCTAGAAACTTTATTTTTTAGTTTTGTAAATAATTGTTTGATATAAGAATTCCTGTATGCCCTTTACCTCATCCATCAGTTGGTAACATTTTGCCTTATTTGTTCCAACATTTGCTCTCTCATAATATACAGGTAATATATATGTGTATTTTGTATAATATGTAATTATATATAAACATATACATATTGTTATTACCATTTGATAGTACGTTGAAGACATTATTCTCCTTTACCCCTAAATATTTCAGAGTGTATGTCCTAAGAACATAGCCACAATATCATTATCAAAATTAGGAAATTTAATATGAATACAATATTATTTTCTAATCCATAGTCTATAAAGAACTTTTGCTAATTGTCCTATACTATCATTTGTAGTTATCATTTTTTTCCTAGTCCAAGATCCAATCAAGCCTCACAATGAGTTGTCATGTCTTGTCCGTGGAGGCGTTGCTTTTATTTTGCCTCCATCATATATCATTTAGTACACCTAAAATCTATTCCAAATTACAAATACTCTAATGACATTTTAAAAATATTAGAAATGTAAAGTTAGCTAAATTTGTACACTGAAATAGAGTTCAGAACTGACATTGGGGCTTGGAATTTGCTGAATAAGAATACTTTGTTAGGACCATAAGGAAAAATTCATTGGTCAAAGGGGTGGGGATGGATTCTTAACTTGTGTGCAAAGCCCTGTTAAGATAGAAAAAGGAAGTTTTCACCTGTGTTATTGTTGGCCACACACCTCTCTCCCTTTCATTGTTCTTATGCTGTTGATGAGGCCTCTGTGTTTCTCAAAGGACCTTCGGTGAAGGGTCAGTTTTGTTTCTGTGGTTACCTGTGCTCTTTCCCATCTATCAAGGACTGATCCTGGTGTAAAAATGGGATAAAGGGCCGGCCGAGTGGCTCAGTTGGTTAAGAGCTCGCTCAAGAGTTTGAGCTCTGANATCTAGACTGAAGAACAAAAGGACAGCAACTTGTCTGTTCCCCTTCCCCAATTCCCCAACGCTGTTCCCCTCCCCTAACTCCCCAATAAAATCTTTTTTAAAAAACCCAAAAAAACCAAAAAAATTTATCTAAGATAGAATGAACCGAAAATGTGGTTGTGGTTGATTGCAAGAATGCTTCAAATTCCTCCCCTGTGCATATTCATGTCCCTTTGCAATGTGACTTTGCAATTTCTTCATCAAGAGATGGAGTTAGTTTCTTCACCTTTTGGATTTAGGCTTGGCCATGTGATTTGTGTTGGCCAATGAGACAGTAGCAAATGTCCCACTTTGCATTGGGCCTTGCCTTCTCTTGTGGCACTTGGAACCCTCTCTTCATGTGACTAAGCTTAGGGAGGCTAGCTTGCTAGAGGATGAGAGACTCGTGACCCAGTTATCTCTCCATCACTCCTGCCACATGCCAAATGCATGAGTGAGGCCATCCTAGACCATCCAGCACCAGGAAATTCACCAGGTGTCTGCAGATACATGGGGAGTCCAGTAGAGCCAAAACCAAAAGAACCATGAGTTATGAGCTAAATAAATGATTGTTGTTGACCTCTAAGTTTTGGGGTGGTTTGTTACACAGCATTAGCTAATAGATACATTGACCAAAAGTTCAAGAAGGACACCCCGTTTTTTTCTTCTCATCTGGCTCCTTCTCTTGTTCCTGAAGTTAGTTTGTATTAACCTGGCGGGGTAAATGGGGCGAGATTGTCATATGTTCACTGTGGTCTCTGTTGAAACGGCATCTGTTCCTGATTGGTCACCTCATTACCTTCGCCAAGCCCCTCCAGGCCCACCAACTCTATACCACTTCCAGGCCACTGTGCTTTGACAGTGAGGTTTGGGAAATCTCTAGGAGCTGCTTGAACCCCAGGTTACCTCCACATATCACAAGTCAATGCACCAGCCCCACAGAAAATGGCCATAAGGGAGGAGACATGAAAGGCTCAAAGAGGCTGGAGAAGGACACTGTGACTAGAGTATAAAGAGTCGGTGGGAAGGGAGTGTGGTGCAGCAAAGGTTAAGTGCAATTAAGTGCCTTAACGAGCAAGGCTGTGGCTGGGCAGGCGGAGGTATCGTGAACAGCAGCCTTCCATTGTAATTCAACATACTTTGTAAAAGGAAGTGAAATAAGACAATGTCTAGTATGGCTGACCCTGCTGATGAGACTGTTCAGCCTCATCAGAGCTGC